TGATGTTGGCGTGCAGGAGGGGTGAGGGGGGGGGGGAGGCGTGTTTGTTGTTTGTGAGAGAGGGAGGGGGGACACGCTGTCTCTTGTTTGTTTCAGGGATGTCTCATTAAGTCAGTCGCTGTCCTTTGTGTGTTCAAAGATCTTTGATTTGATACGACTTCAGACGCTGTCCTTTGTGTGTTCAAAGATCTTTGATTTGATACGACTTCAGACGCTGTCCTTTGTGTGTTCAAAGATCTTTGATTTGATACGACTTCAGACGCTGTCCTTTGTGTGTTCAAAGATCTTTGATTTGATACGACTTCAGACGCTGTCCTTTGTGTGTTCAAAGATCTTTGATTAGATAGGACACGTGGTGGACACTTATCAAATGTTGGACCAGATGATATACGATCAAATGACATACGATCAATTGACATACGATCAGATGACATGCAATCAAATGACATACGATCAGATGGCATACGATCAAATGACATACAATCAGGTGAAACACGTTGACAAACAATCACGTCAGACATCGGGCGATGACGTCATATGAAGGGCGATCATATCATAAGACAGACTATCATGACAGATGACACACTAATCATGTCAGATGATAGACGATTATGTAACATGACAGCAGATGATGTAGGATAATGACAGAACATCCTTAATTCACATACCGGTATTTAAAATGGCAGCGACGTTAGATGTAAGAGATGTGAGCCAAGGATATCATCATTGTTAGGGCGTAATGGTCCAATACCTTAATTAATGGGTCATCCTACAGGACAATTGCAAGCGAAATTAGGGCATGGAGTTTCTATACACCGGAACTTAGGATCAAACTTTTCGCATTGAACGTTAAATAAAATTTTTTTTCTTCGTTCTCAATTGTAATTATAAGGGATTTACCTGCAACATAATTAAGTATTATGTGTCAAGCTGTTAAATAATTTTTCTACATTTTGATCAAAGTGGGCTCGACATATGTGTAATATCGAAGGGAATATCTTCCAACACAATTACGTCAACATGTAATGCGACATCTCTCTCTGATGGACTGCTGTCCCCAGCTAACGAGCCTCATCTGACTAGGATCCAAAACAGTATCCAAAATAGTAATGTGTTTCTTTTTGTACATCTAAGTGGATAACTGGATATTTTGTATATCTAAATGTCGGATAATTCGTGCATCTAAATGTTTGGTGTTTTGAGGGTATAAATATTTGTGAACTATTGTTGGATGTTTTTGTGTGAGCTACTGTTGGATGTTTTGTGTGAGCTATTGTTGGATGTTTTTGTGTTAGCTACTGTTGGATGTTTTGTGTGAGCTACTGTTGGATGTTTTGGATGTTTTGTGTGAGCTACTCTTGGATGTTTTGTGTGAGCTATTGTTGGATGTTTTGTGTGAGCTATTGTTGGATGTTTTGTGTGAGCTATTGTTGGATGTTTTGTGTGAACTACTGTTGGATGTTTTGTGTGAGCTATTGTTGGATGTTTTTGTGTTAGCTACTGTTGGATGTTTTGGATGTTTTGTATGAGCTATTGTTGGATGTTTTGTGTGAGCTATTGTTGGATGTTTTTGTGTTAGCTACTGTTGGATGTTTTGGATGTTTTTGTGTGAGCTACTGTTGGATGTTTTGTGTGAGCTATTGTTGGATGTTTTGTGTGAACTACTGTTGGATGTTTTGTGTGAGCTATTGTTGGATGTTTTTGTGTTAGCTACTGTTGGATGTTTTGGATGTTTTTGTGTGAGCTACTGTTGGATGTTTTGTGTGAGCTACTGTTGGATGTTTTGTGTGAGCTATTGTTGGATGTTTTGTGTGAACTACTGTTGGATGTTTTGTGTGAGCTATTGTTGGATGTTTCGTGTGAGCTACTGCTGGATGTTTTGGATGTTTTGTGTGAGCTATTGTTGGATGTTTTTGTGTGAGCTATTGTTGGATGTTTTGTGTGAGCTATTGTTGGATGTTTTGTGTGAGCTATTGTTGGATGTTTTGTGTGAGCTACTGTTGGATGTTTTGTGTGAGCTACTGTTGGATGTTTTGTGTGAGCTATTGTTGGATGTTTTGTGTGAGCTACTGTTGGATGTTTTGTGTGAGCTATTGTTGGATGTTTTGGATGTTTTGTGTGAACTATTGTTGGATGTTTTGTGTGAGCTATTGTTGGATGTTTTTGTGTGAGCTATTGTTGGATGTTTTTGTGTGAGCTACTGTTGGATGTTTTGGATGTTTTGTGTGAGCTATTGTTGGATGTTTTTGTGTGAGCTATTGTTGGATGTTTTTGTGTGAGCTACTGTTGGATGTTTTGGATGTTTTGTGTGAGCTATTGTTGGATGTTTTGTGTGAGCTATTGTTGGATGTTTTGGATGTTTTGTGTGAGCTACTGTTGGATGCTTTGTGTGAACTATTGTTGGATGTTTTGTGTGAGCTACTGTTGGATGCTTTGTGTGAGCTATTGTTGGATGTTTTTGTGTGAGCTACTGTTGGATGTTTTGTGTGAGCTATTGTTGGATGTTTTTGTGTGAGCTATTGTTGGATGTTTTGTGTGAGCTATTGTTGGATGTTTTGTGTGAGCTATTGTTGGATGTTTTGTGTGAGCTATTGTTGGATGTTTCGTGTGAGCTATTGTTGGATGTTTTGTGTGAGCTACTGTTGGATGTTTTGTGTGAGCTATTGTTGGATGTTTTGTGTGAGCTATTGTTGGATGTTTTGTGTGAGCTATTGTTGGATGTTTTGTGTGAGCTATTGTTGGATGTTTTGTGTGAGCTATTGTTGGATGTTTTGTGTGAGCTACTGTTGGATGCTTTGTGTGAGCTATTGTTGGATGTTTTGTGTGAGCTATTGTTGGATGTTTTGTGTGAGCTACTGTTGGATGTTTTGTGTGAGCTATTGTTGGATGTTTTTGTGTGAGCTACTGTTGGATGTTTTGTGTGAGCTACTGCTGGATGTTTTGGATGTTTTGTGTGAGCTATTGTTGGATGTTTTTGTGTGAGCTATTGTTGGATGTTTTGTGTGAGCTATTGTTGGATGTTTTGTGTGAGCTATTGTTGGATGTTTTGTGTGAGCTACTGTTGAATGTTTTGTGTGAGCTAATGTTGGATGTTTTGTGTGAGCTATTGTTAGATGTTTTGTGTGAGCTATTGTTGGATGTTTTGTGTGACACATAGTTGAATGTTTTTCGTTGTCTATTGTTGGATTTAAGAAATCATGTGATAAAAAGCCATGGTAGAGATCCTACTATGCCCTAAATAAACAGACGTAAGTAACACACCGAACCCCACGTTTAGCCACACAGGAGTTAAACTGTTCAACATCGCCAACACCCGTTTAACATCTCCATAAATGTACACACCATTGAAAGACACGATTTAGTCAAGAGACGGGGGGACGACCACGACAAACTATCTACAAGACTTGTGGTACCAACACCACAACACGAGGTTGACGGTCCATGACGGGGTAGGTGGCGGTGGGGTGTGGGATGGTGGGGTGGTGACGGTGGGGTAGGTGGCGGTGGGGTGGGTGGCGGTGGGGTGGGTGGCGGTGGGGTGGTGACGGTGGGCTAGGTGGCGGTGGGATGTGTGAATCGGACTGTACTATGGTCTAGAACTGACTAATTAAATAGCTCCTAACCTACCTGCTCAATACACCCGCACTTAACACAATAGTTACCTGTGTAACTGCAGGACGCACGAAAGTAAGGTTTTACGGTACCAAACATGTAGTGGGTCTAGATATATAGGACTACGTTATATTATCAAGCATGTAGTAAATCTAGATCTATAGGCCTACGTTATATCATCTAGCATGTAGGGGGCTTACATTTATAAACCTACGTTACATCATCAAGCACATAGTTTCTTCATAGCTTCTATGTTAGACTTTCTGTCATGTAGTTAATGTTTAAATAAATTGAAGCAATGATGCTAATCATATCAATAGCAGGTTACCAATACTAAGATTAAAGTTAAAAATTTTCAATGACTAGATCTAGATTATGTTAAAGTTTGCTTCAATCAAAAGATGAAATGACACAGCAATGACTAGATCTAGATTATGTTAAAGTTTGCTTCAATCAAAAGATGAAATGACACAGCAATGACTAGATCTAGATTATGTTAAAGTTTGCTTCAATCAAAAGATGAAATGACACAGTAATGACTAGATGTTGGCTAACTGGAAGTCAGCAGACGTTGGCTTATAAAACTCTCCAACTTAGCAGACGAGCTGTTATTACAGCCTAGATCTCAACTCTAGACTCGCCTAGATGCCAGAGGTTAAACCAGCTTTTATACAGGCTAGACCTCAACTCTAGACTCGCCTAGATGCAGAGGTTAAACCAGCTTTTATTACAGGATAGACCTCAACTCTAGACTCGCCTAGACGCCAGAGGTTAAACCACAGGCGCAGGATGATACAGCGGTCTCCTGTATGTCGTGAGGTGATTCTGTGAGATCACTCAACCATGACCCAGTCACACCCCGCTACCCACAGTGGGAAATCTCCTTGTGGCTAAGTCAAACAAAGCACTTCCGGTCAGAGAAATGTAAACACTGGGTGCCAGACAGAGAGGTCAAGAGGTCAACCAAGCAGTGTGGTACAGCGTTCGTTCTGACGGAGCAGTCAGTTCCATGTCAGCTAAAGACATCGGCCCTAAGAACACATGTCTAACCCCTCCACCTACAACTCTAACACGCAGACGTCCCACTTATTCCCTATCGTACAATGATAACAATCATAGTATACAAGTATACAGTGTAGATTGGCAGATGTATCAACATTTCCTTACCTTCGTCTAGATCTAGAAACTCTGAAACACGTCTCCGCTAAAACACCCCAGCCAACACCCACGTCACAGCTACACCCCACATTATATACTCAACTTGTTGAACTTTTTTACAACCGGTTTGTTTAGCATTTCTTAGATGGAGAAGATGTTTAGAGCTATTACAACCGACTAGACTTCGTTAGGCCGATGCCCCCCAGATAGACTAGCAAGCAGAAACTTACCGCATCATAGAGCTGCATTTAGCTGGCAATTTACATTTTTAATCCAAGAAGAAATTCAGCCCAGCGGTAAGAAAATCTTGAAGTAACCTCGGAGCGAACAGCACATCGCTAGAAAACGTCTTTTATTTTCTAGCAACACTGGGTACACGTTGTCTCACAGCTAAATTTAGCCGTACGGCTGTATACAGCGGGGAGGGAGGGGCGCGGACACCGCGACACGGCACAGCCCGCTAACGGCCGGCGACCCTCGCGAGACGAGCCACGGAGAGACCCGTCAACGCCGCCGTGTTTTGGGGAGACGGGCAGACAACAGGTGCTAGACGGTTGACGTCTGATGCGGGACGGGAAACAAGATGGACGGCATACCGGCGCGCTTGACAGACAGGTGTTGGACGCAGGTTACAAGATCAGCTTCTCTTTGAGATTCGGGCAATGACGGGTTCGAAACCAGACGAGCCGTGGGCGTGGTAAACAGGGGTCGGGGTCAGGGGTCCTCAACCAGTGAGTGGGCGGGCTGTGGCAAGGTTAATTAAATACAGGTCGTTAAATTAATGAATACGGCACGTGACAGCGAGTGTGGTAAGGAACTCACTGACAGAGTCATCTGAGAAAAAAGTCGGTCAAAAATTACGCATTATTTAAATATCTAACACATCTGGTTCATTGAGTGATAAAAATTAAATACATAAAAAACTATAAAATGATTTGAATATTTTTATGTTATGAGATAATTACAGAATTCAAATATTATTATTGATTCAGATGTAATCATTTGACAGCGATGTAATTATAAACCTAATAAAATGTTGTCCAGCAGGCAATCAATCACCGTTGACATTTTAATTATTGGGGTGTGTTGCTAGCCACGCTTGTTTATAACTTAATGTAGGCACGAACCGATGGGTGCCGTATGATTGTCGCTAGCCAAACGACGTTATGTTTTACAATAACTGAACTAAAGCAAACAATAATTCTACAACGTACTGACAGCAGTAAATACGTGACGCGTGACGGCTGAAATAGTCTGTCGTTCCTGGGGCTGTCGGCGTTAGATGAGTACTCGATGCTCAAGTTAGCTGTTTGACCATGTGTCTTAACATCTTCCTACATGCGGGTCAAATCTTAGTGTAATTAATGTGAAAGTCAAACGCTGATTATTTTAGTCAAAACTGGTCATTTTCGCTTGTGTACAATATTTTTTAAATGAAAAAAAAAAACTTACACTTTCACTTACCATAGCAAAGTGGCCTTTCTCTAGAAATTTCAGTGACTTTTTACTTTCTCGTATATACGAAGTATTTTAATCGTGCACAAAAATCTCTTGAAATTTTAACAATTTTCACCGTATTACACCTCAGTCCTTCTTCACATCCGAAGTATAGAGGACTTATTTTAATCGGGCAAAAATTATCAATCCAGATTTATCAAAATTAAAAAGTTTTATCCGTAATCCAGTCTGAAAAACTGGGCTTTGCAATTCTGTCCGTATGTCTGTGTATCTGTGTGTGTGTCTGTGTGTGTGTCTGTGTGTAAACATGATTACTTGAGTACCGTTACAGCTAGGTTGATGAAATTTCATATATAAGTATTTTATCAAAATCGTAGATCCGTATCAACTTTTGAGCAATTTCCGATAACCGGAAGTGGTACGTTTTCTACTTTGAATTTTTCAAAAGCCTATAACTTGAGTACTATTTCAGATAGATAAATGAAGTTTCACATGTGAGTAAAAGATATAATTTTCTACCTTCTGTTAAATTTTGAGTAATTTCCGTTGACCGGAAGTAGTAATTTACGCTACTTCCGATTTCTCAAAAAAACTAATGTAAATTTTTAAAGTACTAATAATATTGCGCACTAGTATGCACTATTTTATTTGGCGATCACTTGGTGTGCAATTTATTTTGTCTACGAGATTTATTCTATTTTTAAAACTTTAAGTATTTAAAATGGATTAAAAATCATGTGTATAGCCCGAGTTCCCATCCCCTGTTGTTTTATATAAGAATATTCGAGAAAGTTTAGGAGAGATCGCTCCTGGTTTACTTTCACTGATTTCCCTTAATAAGACTTTTCTGTTGTTTTTCTTTTTTTTTTTAAATAAAATTTTACGATATGTTTTTGTGATTTTTTTTCCGAAAATGTTTTCGTGACTTTTTTTCTGTGACATTTCTTCGCCTGACGGCTCATGGTACGGCTCTTAAAATGTTCAGATGTGGCTCACATCATTCGGTGTAAGAGAACTTGTCAACAGGGAAAGTGAAAGGCTAAACCAAAAGTTACAACACCGGAGCTGATGAAAAAGTTTGCATCAAAAGCCGGGGACGCTGAAGTTATTAAAAACTGTTCGTCTGCCGGCCAGACGCCATACCTGGTAAAACAAACTTCGGTCAAACCGCAGTCAAAGTTTTTTGCTTTGTTAAACACAGCCTGCTGGAAACATGAACTGAATGCGTGCCGGCATTGTTGCAAGTTTGTTGGGAGTTTAGTGGCGTATGGAGGTTAGACAAATTGTTGCAAGTTTGTTGAGAGTTTAGTGGCGTATGGAGGTTAGACAAATTGTTGCAAGTTTGTTGTGTGTGTGTGTAAGTTTAGTGGTGTATGGAGGTTAGACAAATTGTTGCAAGTTTGTTGTGTGTGTGTAAGTTTAGTGGTGTATGGAGGTTAGACAAATTGTTGCAAGTTTGTTTTGTGTGTGTAAGTTTAGTGGTGTATGGAGGTTAGACAAATTGTTGCAAGTTTGTTGTGTGTGTGTAAGTTTAGTGGTGTATGGAGGTTAGACAAATTGTTGCAAGTTTGTTGTGTGTGTGTAAGTTTAGTGGTGTATGGAGGTTAGACAAATTGTTGCAAGTTTGTTGAGAGTTTAGTGGCGTCAGACAAATTGTTGCAAGTGGCGTATGGAGGCTAGACAAATTGTTGCAAGTTTGTTGTGTGTGTGTAAGTTTAGTGGTGTATGGAGGCTAGACAAATTGTTGCAAGTTTGTTGTGTGTGTGTAAGTTTAGTGGTGTATGGAGGCTAGACAAATTGTTGCAAGTTTGTTGTGTGTGTGTAAGTTTAGTGGTGTATGGAGGCTAGACAAATTGTTGCAAGTTTGTTGTGTGTGTGTAAGTTTAGTGGTGTATGGAGGCTAGACAAATTGTTGCAAGTTTGTTGAGAGTTTAGTGGCGTCAGACAAAGTGTTGCAAGTTTGTTGGGGGTTTAGTGGTGTCAGACAAATTGTTGCAAGTTTGATACAAAATTGACGCCTCATCTAGATCTAGTAATTTAGAAATGAAATAAATTGTTCTAAAGTATTAGCTTTATATTGTCTAGCAACAAGCAAAAAGTTATTGGCGATTTTTTACTTTCTATATTGAAAGAGCGAAAACAAAAAACAGCAACCCGACAGTAGATGCAATGTCTTGAAAGAATGTACCAGAACACAACTGCTACTGTCGACAACAGAATGTTCAAAGTAAAAAAAAATGTGCAACCATCACATGAAGTTTAATTTAGCGTATTCACACAAACAACCCGAAATACGAAACCAATACTCAACATTTAACGGTAAATACGTCTAGCGTAGGTTCTCTCCCCGCCCCCCACAGCTGAAGCAACTCACACTTTTTCAATCGTCTGCCGGCACGTAACACACGTGCTTTGATTATTCGAGAACCTCCCCCCCCCCCACCTCTGCACGCCTTACCATTAGAGACCAGCGAACACTGCAATAAAAAAAAACTTCAAACCAAATGTTCAAAACTTCTGTACTGATGGCCCCTAATGTAATCAAGTGGTTAAATTACAGTTGACAATTACAGTTGACAATTACAGTTGACAATTACAGTTGACCATTACACTTGACAATTACAGTTGACCATCACACTTGACAATTACAGTTGACCATTACAGTTGACCATTACAGTTGACCATTACAGTTGACAATTACAGTTGACCATTACACTTGACAATTACAGTTGACCATTACACTTGACAATTACAGTTGACCATTACAGTTGACCATTACAGTTGACCATTACAGTTGACAATTACAGTTGACAATTACAGTTGACAATTACAGTTGACAATTACAGTTGACAATTACAGTTGACAATTACACTTGACAATTACTGTTGACAATTACAGTTGACAATTACAGTTGACAATTACAGTTGACAATTACAGTTGACAATTACAGTTGACAATTACAGTTGACAATTACAGTTGACAATTACAGTTGACAATTACAGTTGACAATTACAGTTGACAATTACAGTTGACAATTACAGTTGACAATTACAGTTGACAATTACAGTTGACAATTACAGTTGACAATTACAGTTGACAATTACAGTTGACAATTACAGTTGACAATTACAGTTGACAATTACAGTTGACAATTACAGTTGACAATTACATTACAGTCATGTCAAATGACTTGGGTATAGGGTCCAGATATACAGTCATGTTTAGATGACTTGGATGTAGGGTCCAGATATACAGTCATGTTTAGATGACTTGGGTATAGTGTCCAGATATACAGTCATGTTTAGATGACTTGGATGTAGGGTCCAGATATACAGTCATGTTTAGATGACTTGGGTATAGGGTCCAGATATACAGTCATGTTTAGATGACTTGGGTATAGGGTCCAGATATACAGTCATGTTTAGATGACTTTTGTATAGGGTCCAAATATACAGTCATGTTTAGATTAATTTTGTATAGGGTCCAGATATACAGTCATGTTTAGATGACTTGTATCTAGGGTCCAGATATACAGTCATGTTTAGATGACTTGGGTATAGTGTCGATGAGGTACAGTCAAGCTTGTGCCAAAAGAGCTGCTACTATTTCTGTGCTCCTGTCGCCCAGTTCTCGAGCCCGATACACGATACAGTGGCCAACGCCCACTACACGATACAGTGGCCAACGCTCGCTACACGATACAGTGGCCAACGCTCGCTGGCCAACGCCCACTACACGATACAGTGGCCAACGCTCGCTACACGATACAGTGGCCAACGCCCACTACACGATACAGTGGCCAACGCCCACTACACGATACAGTGGCCAACGCCCACTACACGATACAGTGGCCAATGCTCGCTACACGATACAGTGGCCAACGCTCGCTGGCCAACGCCCACTACACGATACAGTGGCCAACGCCCTCTACACGATAC